TAAGAAGTACAGTTTAAGTTTTAAGTGACATTTGGATCTATGATCCCTTTTAAGAAGAAGTTATAGTAGTAGTCTCTAATCATTCAAGAATTTATAAAGGTGGGGTGGTTGGTAGACTGAGTCCCGACTACCCGAGATGACTTACTACTCGGAGGGCTTGGAATCCCTTTTAGGGGGTGTGCACACTTAAGGTAGTCGTTTCGTTTCCGCAAGAGCAGTTGTGGTACCGGCACTTGTTCGGGGTGGCCGTCCGTAACCACGGTCCACCGGGCTCAGTCGAAAGATTGAGCACCGCCCTTCTAAATTACTAGGAAGTTAGCGAAAAAGAGTTTATTTTTGAGATGAGCAAAGAAGAATAGAATTTTGGTGGAGTGAGTTTTTTTTATATAGTATTATATGAAAAACTATTTTTCGCCAAACCTGATTATTTTACGGGGTTGGGTAGTACTTACTTAGCTCTAAAGCTAATTTTTGTTTTCTTTTCTTTGTTTTGTTTTCTGCACTTTATTTGTGCAGGTGATGATGCCTTGTTGATTGATGATTACTTGATTCCCGAGAGCGGTTTAGAGATGCCTTAGACAAACTTAGTCAAGAATAAACATTTTAATTTACTTATGTTTTGAACACTAGTTTTAGTTTGTTTTGTCTGGGGTTAGCCTGTGCATTCGGTTAAGAGATGACCGGATGTGGCGGTAACACCCATTTCCCATTAAATATTATTTCCGCTGCAAAACTTTTTATCTGTTTTGAAAGAATAAATCAAGTTTATTATCAATAAATCTATTATTTCAAGTACTATTTTGGGAGGGAAATGGGGGTGTTACAAATTGGTATCAGAGACTTTAGGTTGTTTTTTCTGGGAGATTTTTCAAAGTGGTTTTCCAAAAAGTTTTTTAAAAAATTTCAAAAAAAAAAATAGGAAAATGAAAATGATTAGGAAAAGGCATATTAGGAACGAAGGTGAGGATTGTGAGACTTTAAAGTTATTGATTTGTATGATTGAGTTGTGAAATTCATGAAGTTACTTGCTTATATGAATTATGTGGAGTTAGATAACTTGCTTGAATGTTTATAGGAGATAGAACTTGAGTATGACCTTAGTGAAGGACTTTTATGCTTAAGATAATGTAGAGACCTTATGAAAGCCATAGTACGTACTTCAAGAGTTGTGAGATTAGAGGCTACGTGGTCAAAATGGTGAAAGTGTTATGGTCAAATTGTTTGACTGAAGGTGCTACTTAAGAGACCAAGGATAATATGGCAATCTAGAGTAATTTCACGTTGATAGTATTTTAGTTACGAGGACGTAACCTCTCTTTAAGTGGGGTAGAATGTAACACTAGATAATTTATATCGTTAAAAATTAGATTATTAGAGCTGATGCTTCGGGGACGAAGCATTCTTTTAAGGAGGGTAGAATGTGACACTCTGAAATTTTGAAAAAAAAAATAAATAATAAATAAATAAATAAATAAATTATTAGATAAAATGTAAGAAGTGGCATTTTTGTGATAATTATTTTGAACAAACAAAAGTGACTTTTTTTCGCACACATGAGAAGCTGGCATGGAGATATAGTTTTATTAATGATAATAACTTAACACTAAGTTGACTTTTTCAACTATATATGTACGTAATACTCCACCTGCGTATTACCATAATAGTAAGACTCCGTATATATACTTAAGCTAATAATAATATTTCTACTTCTTGCAAAAAAAAAAAATCTACCGCAACATTAATGCAAACCATGTATAATTCCATGCTTGTATTCAAAACGAATCGAAACTTTCCTTATAACCGAAGTACTGGTGACCGGCATTATGCAATACACATTGTATTCACGTTTATGCGTATAATCAAACATGGAAACCTGATAAATGAAATTTAATGCAAAAGGTTTGTAACCGATGGAAATTATACGGCAAACAAGGCTAGATACATTAGGTATGTGGCCTGCGATTCCTACGCCGTATAACAACGAACTTCCGCACAAAACCAATCGGATAAAACGTAACCTAATTGGATACGTTCCAAGATGACCTACAACCTTCAACTATAAATAGCAGCTTCGCCCTACGGTTCTTTCATTCACAATATATAGCCGCAAGAGATATATACCTACTAGTATATGCGTATACTATACATATATCCAAACTATCAACCCTTCGTTTTAGCTGTAAACCAGAACTGTAAACACCACAAATATCATCCCCTTTGTGAATGGAAGCCAACGGAAGTGGAATCACTGAAAATGATCGTGAAACGAGTGAGAACAAGCTCGCCGGAGTAGCGGCCGGGCTGTTTTCCGGCGTGTATACATGAAGAAGAAGCCGGGCTGCTGTCACCAGACCACCTCGCTGCTACCGGAGACGACAACGGGCTCATCTTCCCTGGCTTGGACGATCTCACGAGGCAGACGCCGGAAGAGACCCGCATGCGTCGTCGCCGTCCTCCTTCCCGTAAGACTAACTCTGCTCTGCGTGGTATTTTTCTCCCGCATAAAATTGGGCTGGGTTTGGTTGGACCGGAATTTGACTTAATAATAGTAAATAGCTGGACTACTTAATCAATAATGGACTGTTTAATAAATCAAAAACTAATGGAAGGATTATTATATTATTATAATAAAATGATTAAAGTAAATGGTTCGACCAATTGGGTAATAAAATAATACAGGGGAAAATCGGATAATTATAGAATAAAGAGGACTAATTATGAAATTTTAATTAGAAGGTGATTATTTAGAGACCGAGTTGCAAGACACGAACTAGTAGGAGCGTCATCATGGTTGAAGTAAGTTTCTCTGCCAATCCAAAATTGTTTCCTCGTATTATATGCTTATTATGCATTATGTGATTAAGTGTGAATTTTGAATTATGTGTATGTGATTTTGATGAATACAAATCAAGAGTACTTTTTGGGGTATTAAATATTTTTAAATACCTTTCAGATTATTTAGAGAGATTGAGAAATATTTTTAGAAGTGTATCTAAAGCGAGGATAAAATTTACGTTTTCATAAAAGGTGAGCACCGCGGGAGAAATCCGCGGTGTCGGTTTTCCACATCCGGATAAATGTGGATGGTGATTAAGGTTGCTACTACTAAGAAGTACAGTTTGAGTTTGAAGTGACATTTGGATCTATGATCCCTTTTAAGAAGAAGTTATAGTAGTAGTAGTAGTAGTTCCTAATCATTCAAGAATTTTAAAAGGTGGGGTAGTTGGTAGACTGAGTCCCGATTACTCGTGACGACTTACTACTCGGAGGGCTTGGAATCCCTTTTAGGGGGTGTGCACACTTAAGGTAGTCGTTTCGTTTCCGCAAGAGCAGTTGTGGTACCGGCACTTGTTCGGGGTGGCCGTCCGTAACCACGGTCCACCGGGCTCAGTCGAAAGATTGAGCACCGCCCTTCTAAATTACTAGGAAGTTAGCGAAAAAGAGTTTATTTTTGAGATGAGCAAAGAAGAATAGAATTTTGGTGGAGTGAGTTTTTTTTATATAGTATTATATGAAAAACTATTTTTCGCCAAACCTGATTATTTTACGGGGTTGGGTAGTACTTACTTAGCTCTAAAGCTAATTTTTGTTTTCTTTTCTTTGTTTTGTTTTCTGCACTTTATTTGTGCAGGTGATGATGCCTTGTTGATTGATGATTACTTGATTCCCGAGAGCGGTTTAGAGATGCCTTAGACAAACTTAGTCAAGAATAAACATTTTAATTTACTTATGTTTTGAACACTAGTTTTAGTTTGTTTTGTCTGGGGTTAGCCTGTGCATTCGGTTAAGAGATGACCGGATGTGGCGGTAACACCCATTTCCCATTAAATATTATTTCCGCTGCAAAACTTTTTATCTGTTTTGAAAGAATAAATCAAGTTTATTATCAATAAATCTATTATTTCAAGTACTATTTTGGGAGGGAAATGGGGGTGTTACACTCTATGAGTTTGAAAAGATATTTCCCCCCGCCTTCTTTGACATAATGGTTCACCTACCTATTCACCTAGTTGAAGAAATTAGACTTGGTGGTCCAGTTGCATCAAGATGCATGTATGCAATTGAAAGATATCTTCGGATGTTGAAATCACACGTAAAGAACAAGGCACGTCCAGAAGGATCAATGGCAGAAGGTTACTTAACTCATGAATGTGTAACCTTTTGTTCTAGATATTTGAGTCGTGCATCAAGACAAGACCCAAATCATGCAAATATGGGTGATAAGCGGAGTCCTACTTTTCCCAGGATGGGCTATCATTTAAAAGGGAAAGGCAGAAAAAAGAAGAACAAATGTTATGGTTTCAAGATTGATCTTGAGACATGGAATTAAGTGCAACGATATGTGTTATGCAACTGCGAGAGTGAAGAGATTGAGAAATACATTAAGTAAGAACTGTTGCTATTTTTTATTATACATTTTTTTTCATATTTTTGTTTTTTACTAACCCCAAGAGTGTTGTTACAATACAGTGAGCACAAGACGTCTCTTGCTAGTCGAAATAAAAGAAAATGGGACACTCTCCAGAACCATAGCAAAGATTTCATTGACTGGTTTTGAGAGAAAGTTGACTATGAGATTCAAGAAGGTCTTGAAGTACTTGATCATATCAAAATCTTGTCTACGGGGCCTTCTCACATAGCTAGAAAATATACGGGATATGCTATCAATGGCTTCAGATTCCACATTGCAGACCGTGATGCGAATTGTGTGACAGACAATAGTGGAGTCACACTGACAGCACAAACTCCTAGCTTTGCGAGTAGTAGAGACAAAAATCCTATTGTTGGAGACGTTAAGTATTATGGCTCAATTCAAGCAATCATTGAGATAAGTTATAGCGACAAATTCAGTTTTGTGTTATGCAGATGCACGTGGTTTCATTCTGAGAGAGATGATTATGGACTTACTCAGGTTAACCGTTCCAAGTTCATTTCTAAAAATGAACCATTCATTTTAGCATCTCAAGCACATCAGGCATTCTATGTTGAAGACCCCACTAAGAAGGGATGGTACTATGCAGTGGAAAACCTTCCTAAAGATGACTTTTAATTCTACTAGTAATACATTTTTCTTTCTATTTGCAGGTAAAGTTTAGATTTTCATATTAAAGTTTGTAGGAATACTATTTTTACTACTAATTATAGTTTGTAGGAATGCCGATATTTAATCTGTATTTATATTTGTATGTGATTTTTTCAATCATTCATAACTTAGTAATAGTTGTATGTGAATTTTTCAATCATTCATTAAATGTGATGTTTAATCTAGACCTTATTTGATTCACTTCTGCAGATGGGGAAAAAAAGAGGCTCCTCTCAATGTAGTGGACGTGAAGAGCTTACAGACTATGAAAAGGAAAGGTTAAAGAGGTTGGAAATGAATGAACAAAAATTGCGTGCAGTAGGGTTAACAAGTCTAGCAAATAAGGCGATCTTCCAAACGAAAGATAAAGACCAGTTTACCAATGATATTGACCTAGAAGACGCAGATTACACACCGAGTGGTGATGAGAATGATGAATCAAATCATCCAAAGGTGTGTTAATTTAAACATTTCAATACATTGGTACGTTTAAAACACACAGAAGCTAGCTGAAAGTACGTTTTTTGTATCTAATTTATATTTGTAGTGTTAGTTTATTTGGCAGATCACATATAGTCCTTGTTAAAAACTTCTACTCTTTATAGAATATAGACCTCCTACAGTTGCAATAGATATGATAATCCGTCGAGAAAGAAAAAAACAGATCCTAAACCAAAGGAAGAAAATAATGGAAATAATAATTAATTACTAGATCCTAAAACAGTAAAACACAGCCTTGATTGGAGAGAGAGAATGACTTTTCTAGCCTTATACTAGTATTCATATTAAAATTATACTCCGTAAGTAGTATTTACATTATATGTTCTGATTTTGTTGAACTGTTTCAAACCATATTTAAAATAAGATTCATCACTTCAGAAGTTAGAACATATACTATATATATATATATATATATATATATATATATATATATATATATATATGCAATAGAATAATATGCTTGGAAAGGTGATTAGTGGAATACATGGGAAGAAGAAAATTGATCTGTGCACCTATACGATTTCAAGTTATTTGTTCGCTACAGATTATTTGCTAATTAAAGATCAACTGAAATTGTGAAATACTAAGGGACTGAGTAGAACTGAGACTGGACATAAATTACTAATTCAATATGTTTTCCTTACAGGTATCAATGAAGGGAAAAGGTCAACGTAAGAAGGTAGAGGCTGCTAGAAGTTCTGGGACATCAACTGATCAAACTTTGGTTAAGGTTAGTTCTAAAAAGGAAGCTGCAAGGGTTCTCAAGGGTTAGGGCACACGTTGCAGGAAGAAGCCTATTTCTGATCCAAAGGCACAAAAATTGCTCCAGGATCCATGGCCTTGTACTTTGAAATGAGGAAAAGGCAAGAGTTTTTGAAGAAGAAAAAGAATGAAGCACCTTTTCTAGTAGCTGAAGATTCTTCCAGTGAGAATGAGCTTGAAAATGCTAATCAGAACAACTCCATGAGCGATGAAGAGGAAGTAAGCAAATCATCACCAGTGAGGGAAGTTGATATTCTCGGAGAACATGACGATGATGTAAACTCTTTTGATACTTCAGCGGGTATGGAACATGAGGTGGCTGCTGAAAAAGATATTGCTGCAAGTGCTAAGGCTTCATCAAAAGGTAACCAAGTCTGATATGTCATTTTATTTCACGTAGGTGTGGATTTTACGTATAATAATTATCATTTAAATGTTATTAGTTGCTGGAGAAAAGAAGCATAGAGGCCCAACAGATATGGCAGCAGTGCATAATCGTAAGTTTGATGAACGGCCAATAATTATTCTGAACGAAGAAGGGCAACCAATTGGCCCTACTCCCGCAGTTGTTAGTGAATTCAGTCGGTTCCTAGGCACCATGGCTAGAGATTCAAAACTTGCACCTTTGAATTATGTCACTTGGTATAAGGTTCCAAAAGCTAAATTAGACAGGATGTAGAATTATGCCATGGTAATTAAGGTCATAACACTCTTTTATAGTTTATTGATCTTTATTTTAGATGATTTAGATGAAATGTGCAAAGTTGAGTCTAATTGTTGTGTATGTAATACTCATGCAGGAGAAGTATGTGGTTCCCATAGAAGGAAAAGGGTGGGTTTTTGCTACCCTTAATGATCTGTGGCGTGTTCACAAATCAAGATTGAAGAAACGCCATTTTTATAAATACAATACAGTACAAGAAAGATGGACGAATCGACCAAATAGTGTTCCTAATCAACAGTTCCTAGATCTTTTGAATTACTGGTCTCTTAAAGATGTTCAGGTATGTGTAGTATTCGTACTAGGAAGGTAGGGATAACTGAGTTTAAAATAGAGACTGGAATGGAATAATTGTTTCATTACAATTTTTTTGAAACACTTGGAATTAAGGGGTGTAATTTAATATTATATGCCTGATATGAAGTTGGTTTATAAAAATTGTAGGATGAAAGCAATACGAATAGAGAAAATCGCATGAAGCATGATGACCCACACACTCTGGGCTCGATATCATTCACACTATTGCGTCATACAATGGTAATGGTGTTCTAGTTTGATCATGTTATTTAAAATCAGATTATCATGCTTATAATTAATTATACTCTTTATTTATATTTTCCACCTTAAACATATGTGTTAGCAGACAAACGAGGATCCCAATAAAGAAGAGCCATCTGATTTCGTGATGTATAAGGAGTCTAGGATGAGGTTTGTGGATGGTCAGTGTATGACAAAGCCTTACCCCGGCGCTGAGCAGAATAGGCGTGTACGCCTTCGTGGTCGAGGCATGACCAAGTCTAAAATGAAGAAAAATAACAAGAAGCAGTCTAGCTACATAATGCTAGAGGAGTTCTTGCAAAGTGTCAAAGCACAGTTGGCTCCGGAAGTAGTGTCCATGGTACTCTCACAAATAAAGGCAGCTAATCCTGGGATAAGTCTGAACATTCCAGAGTTCTGTGTGTCCTCAAAAAATCAATCATCAGGGCATGAGGTAGATGGGTCAAATGGGTAATCTTCAGCTGGAGCGCACTCGATATCGAAGGTAATTTATATAGCTTCTCTGATATCATTTGAGAGTTCTGGAAATGGTTTTGAGCTCATTTTTTTGCTATATGAAGTTTTTCTTTTGTTGCTTTGAGCGAGCTAACCTTTAAGTGCTAGATATGCCAGTTTGTTATGATCTAATGAAATGAAATCAAATGGGTTTGTTTTAACGAAAATGTACTCTTAAAATGTATTTGATTACATGTCACCTAACACTAACTATAACTACAGTCTACCATTAAGTATTCTTGTAATATTTTCTTGTAAACTATTATTACAGTCTACCAAAGGTCAAAGGATTAAAGCAGTGTGTATAATACCAAGTGGAAGTGTTCTTGTACAGTGCATGACCGCAATTCCAAATAGTGGAATGCTTTCTTGGCTATTCTATATATGTGTTCTTTTAATCCTAGATAATCACTATACCATGCTTTCATGGGCATCCTATTTGTGTTAACATTTGTTATTTTTTTATAATGCTTGGTTGCAACCATAATTATCCTTAATATATGTATATTAGTATTAATGTTTAACGGTTTTGTATAAGATTATTGTGACATAGGAACATCTATGACTTTGAAGCCTTAACTTGCACTTTATTCCTTGGATGGCTGCATAAAACACGGAGTTTGAATTTGTTCATGAATTAAGTTTGTGTAGTGCTCTGTAACTTATCTAACTTATCCTAAGTAAGCCTGACTTATCCATGTAGTGGAGGATTTCTCTTAAAGAGTGATATAACAGAGTACGGGGAATTTGTTCGTAGCTTGAATGCCCTTTCAGTGGATCAGGAATTCGAATTGATGTAAATCTGAGTTGAAAATCTTAGGAAGTCTCAGGCCTTTGTTATTATATAAGTAATTTCTTATTATATAAGTAATTAAGTTCCCCCGAATTAGTTGTAGTTGATTATGGCATGTATCTTCCCTCCCTCAAAGTGGCATCTTTTTATTGATATTTTTATTAGGTTAGCCTATGCTAATATGCCATCAAGTTAGCTTGTGCTTATTCCTATTATTATATCACAATAATCTGAAATTATTTATAAGATGAGTATAGTAAAAAACTCATTATAAGTATATAACATGGGTGCTTAATTATTTGAAATGTTTGTTTTACTGGTGAGGGATTCACATGAAGATGAAGATGAAGATGGAATGGAATTAAATGATGAATGATACATACTCATGATTGTCACTTGATCTAGCCTCTCCTAGTAGTAGTGATAAACTATCTTTTGCTTTGTGAACATGACGTTCAACATTTTGCTACTTATCAAACTCATGTTTTTGTCAAAGAGCTTTTAACATAGCTACATACTTTGGTTACGTTAGGTTGCATTTGTTTTGAACTTGATGGTTCTTTAACTGATTGAAATGTTTGTTTTACTGGTGAGGGATTCACATGAAGATGAAGATGGAATGTAATTAAATGATGAATGATACATACTCATGATTGTCACTTGATCTAGCCTCTCCTAGTAGTAGTGATAAACTATCTTTTTTGCTTTGTGAACATGATGTTCAACATTTTGCTACTTATCAAACTCATGTTTTTGTCAAAGAGCTTTTAACATAGCTACATACTTTGGTTACGTTAGGTTGCATTTGTTTTGAACTTGATGGTTCTTTAACTTTTGAATGCTTTTGTACAACTTAAGTTGCTTGGTTTAATGTAATGAATTTGATGTTGGGTCGACATTTGTTTCACTTTTGTGTGTAATAATAATTAAATTGGCAATAGGTGTACGTGTAAATATACATCCGGGCTGCAGTGTGCAAATAAATAAACCGTTACATTACATAATTAACCATATTTTAAAGACTGTTACATTACATAATTAACTAGGGTCATTGTATTTTAAAAACCGTTACCCTATTACGTTGAGACGAAAGCAGTATTACTCTATTACGTTATACGTTATGTTTTTAGCCCTTATTTTATAAAATGATACTTATTATGACCTAGAGACATGAATCAGCCTCGAAGTCAAATTTTCAGCGCTGACAGTCTGACAACAAAGGTAGTCAAAATTACTTCAGCTGCCTCAATGAAAACCAATCACATTAACGCGTACTTAATACGAGGCGGTTACAGTTCGACCAATTCATTTGACAATCTAGATATTATCTGAAGTTACATTGCTTTACACCTACCACTCGAGTTTTACAAATTCACATACATGTTACTAGTCCGTCAACACGTCTATTGCACGGTAAAATTTACTTTAAATGTAGTCATCTTTTGATGAGTAATTAATGAATGTTTTTGGTACAAAATCAAATTGAAGATATAAAATGTGTAAGAAAGATATAGTTCATAACTAATGAATAATACACTTGAAATTACATTTCAATTTTAGACTATGTAGAAAAATTCATGAATGAGATAAAACGTCCATATATGTCAAATCTTCAAAACAAAGATAAACCAATAAATACACAATAGTTATATATTTCATTAATTATAAAGTTGATGTCAGATAAACATGTGTTGGTCTTGCCATAATAGAAATATCCTTATATGAGTTCTTGAAATAACATTACACCTAAATCGGCGCTTCTTGTTTCAAACACCTTTTTTTATAGTTATTAAAAATTTAGAAATAAAAGTAATATGAATTTCTTGTATAATATGGATATAAAATCAAACTTTCCAAATTTTGAAAATCTTATGCAACATCTTAATTTTGAAAACTTTGTTGCATTTTGTGTGTATGTTTACAAAATAGAACTATGGGGTAGTTTGGTTGCTGATGGTGTGTACCCCAAGATGTTGCTTATTGTAGCGTTTTCCACTTAAAAAAGTTGTCATTTTTGGGGTAAAAATCAAAAACTTTAAAAGAGATGTATTGAAATTTGCATTTTGCGTCTCATTTTAACCAAATAGAGAAACCCGACCTTTGATTTATGCATAGTTTGCATACTTAATCATCATAGAGTAAGTATTAATTAATATACATAAACTAAGATAACAAATATAATTGTAAGAGATACTCCCTTCGTCCCTTAGAACTTTGTCATCTTTCCTTTTTGGGACATTTCAAAAAACTTTGCCACTTTACCTTTTAATCAATTATTTTGTGGTTTCTGTTATTTCTCTCTCCTCTGCACAATCTTCAACCACACAATTTTTACTTTATTATTCTCCGTGACAGTCAACTTAAGGCAAAGTTTTAAGGGACAGAGTTAGTAATTAATAATCATCATATATTTCCTCTTACGTCTCACTATTGTTTATTTCATTCTGTGGCATCGGAGAATAATAAAGTAAAAACTCTGTAGTTGACTTTTGTGCATAGGAGAGAGAAATAACAGAAATCACAAAATAATTGATTAATAGGGAATGTGTTAAAGGTTTTTGGAACGTTCCAAAAAGGAAAGTGACAAAGTTTTAAGGGACGGGGTACATTAGATTATACTCTCTCCGTCCCGCAAACAATTTCTCACTTTCCTTTATGGGTAGTCCCGAGATTAATTTAACACTTCAAAACTTTCCTTATTTAACAAATTATCTACATCAAAACAGTGCCAAATAGTGTCAAAAGTGTTTAAACAATGCAAAACAGTACGCTCCACAGTAAAGTCAAATTTATTTTCTTAATGTGTACTCCGTATGAAGTATGAAGTGAAGGTGTGAACTTAATTAGTTAATTGCGAGAGGGGGGAGTACTCAAATTCGGAGTCTTCTTAAAAAAAACAGAAAAAAACTAAATTGACGGCCGCCAAGGCGCCAGGTGTTATTAATCAATTCTATTATGACTGACCCCTCAGTACGAAATTACTCCACTTCGTTTTCCTTTTTTTTTTTTTTTTTTACCTTGCCTACCCCTGACTTTCCTTCTATAAAACGCACCTTCTTCACCCTCAATCTCCCTTCCCTTTCTCCTTCTCTCCTTCCTTTAAGCTTAAGCTTTCCGATCTATAATCCTCATTTCTCTGCTGCTTTTTTTTTTTCTAGTTTCCCCCCCTTTTTATCTCTTCTCTTTTCAGATCTGCCTTTTTCCTTTCAGATTTCAAAAGTTCTCTGTAAGCTCAGGCACCAATCATTGATGCTTCGGAATGCGTTTTTGATGCTTGAGATTGATGTCTCCTGTTCTCAGTGAAATCCTTCGTTCCGGTTTTATGATCAGTACCTCCTTCATACGCAGAGCTCATCTTGTTCAGTCTTTCTCCGTTGTCTTCCTCTACTGGTTTTATGTTTTCTCAGAAACTGCTTCCCTGATCTCCGTCATCGTTTAATTTAGACCTAGCTAGCTCTTCGTAGATTTACTTCCGAAAGAAATAAATCATAGTAGCAGTTGTAATTTAGCTCGGTTATCGCGAATTCTAGGTTTCTGTTGTAAGAAAATGGCCTCCTCAAGTGGAAATTCGTCCGGATCTACTCAGATTACCAATTCCGGTTCGGAGGAGAATCTGCAGGTCCTGATGAACGAGCGGAAGAGGAAGAGAATGCAGTCAAACAGGGAATCTGCAAGGAGATCGCGGATGAGGAAGCAGCAGCACCTGGATGAGATGATGGTTCAGGCGGCGCAGCTCAAGCAGGAGAACAACCAGATCCTGGAGAGGATGAACATCACAACGCAGCATTACATGCGCGTGGAGGCGGAGAATTCTGTTCTGAGGGCTCAGATGATGGAGCTAAGCCAGAGGCTTCAGTCTCTGAATGATATCCTCAGCTCCATGAACCCGAGCTCAGCTGGCGTTTTCGGTGGTGATGCCTTTGTGGATGCTGACTTCCTCCTTCAGACAGGGGGGACTCATCAGGCTTTGGTGAACAACAATCCGTGGATGTTCATGAACCAAACCCCCATCATGGCTTCTGCAGATTTCTTCCAGTATTGAGAAGAAGAAGAGATGAGATATTCCGGTGCGGTGGCGACGGCGGTGGCTTCCTTGGGAAATGGATGGGTATAACTGGAATTGTCTTTATTATATGCACTAATGGTTTTTTATTTGTTATGATTGTTGTCGTTTTTTTATTTGTTTTTTATTGGGGTATTAGATGAAGACTTTGGGAATTGTAAGCAATCAATGTGATGGTGGTAGTCTGGATGAGAGGGCTAATCAGGGTTTTGCAGATTATACTGGGATGAATGGCTGTGAATGTATAATATATTTAATGATAATCATGAATAAAGTACTCTGTCTTCTAGTTTAATTTCTCATTTCAAGCTGCACTTGTATTTATTTTATTTTCCCCAAAAAGATTCACCCCATTATAATAAGAAAAATTTGTGGTGCACTAGAAATAATTTCATACTACGGTACCTTAATTGGGAATTAACCGTTTAGCTGGAATTTCCACATTTGTTAATGAAGCTAAACAAAAGTTGTAATCCAAATTGGAATGCAAAAGGTAATTTCTATAGAGAAGGATTTTTGCGTAGAAAATAAAACGAGACACTTATTTAGAAACTATTCATGAAGGATTATGTGTGAAAACACGTTCTAGAAGATGTTTTGAAATTTTAAGACTTCTATTAAGAAGTCAATCTGAATAGTTTTTTTAGAAAATCTAGCTTGTTTATGAATTTAATTAGTTATAATAGCCTGTAATCCCAATACAAAGAATTTCATATCTTAATTGGGAATTAACTGTTTTGTTGGAATTTCCACATTTGTTAATGAAGCAAAAAAAGAGTTGTAATCCCAATATAATCTGCAAACCCCTGATTAGCCCTCTCTTAAGAAGTAATCAATTTTAATTAAATATATATTGATAATCTTTTAGTTTTAAAAAGTTTTCACTTCTTAGAAACAAAAGTTATTAAAATGCTTAAAGGACGTCATGAAAAATGATTATGGATGTTTTCTTTTGGACTGAAATTTGCTGGTCTGGTCTGATATGATCTGGTCTGGTTCGAACTGATCTGGTCTAGTCGATAAACGTCTGATTCCTTTGTATTTTATAACTACGGAAGTCTGATCTTGTCTGATTTGACCTGAGACCGAAGACACTTCAAAAGAAAACATTCTATATACTACATAGTATGTATTAAATTTTG